TAAATTACAATGTTTTACCTTTTCGTCGGCACAACAGCGAATTTAATTGGAATATACAAGATTTAAAAAATAAAAATTCAACAAAAAAAAAAAAACAATAATAAAATTAAAAAACGCCAAAGGGTTGAAAATATTGTAATTGTGTTTTATATTTCAATATGCGATTAAAAAGGTACAAAAAAAAGTGAGCATCTTAAAAAGATATCGAATTTCCTTGGCAGAAGTAGCGAGCAGATTAATTGCATTATAAAGTCTGCAGTTCGGTATTTTTTCCATTTTTTCTGTTTTTGAAGTCTCCATTTAACTTAATTTTCCATCAACAACTTTTTCTCCTTTTAATCCTTTGGAATGGCTGTGCTTCAGCGCCAAAACATATGCTACACTTAAGCAAAACACTAAATTAAGGATTTTCCAACGAAAGGAAAAACAAGTGAAATTCGCAGTTCAAAATGGAAACTAAATTGCAGAAGAGCAACATTAAATTTGCTTTTAAATTTTAAAAATCAGCCGATTATGAACATAAAATTATTTGCCAACAGGCAATTTTCCGGCCTGTGTAAATATCGTAAAGGACATAAAACTGTTAAAATCCGTACATTAACATTAAATTTAATGAGGGACAATTTTTATTATTTTTGGCACTTTGTCTTCTGGCTTTTTATTAAACTGTTCCAGTACTCAAGCCACACTCGCACTCACCCTGTTAACACCTCCTTTGCTGAACTACAATTGCCTTCAGCTGCCTCTGTTGTTCTATTAGTGTCAATTGGCATTGGGACATCGTAACCTGTACCGCCTTGACTAATAACACTTTTTAGAATTTCGCTTTTATTTTCATAGAACGTAATTTTTTCGTGGAAAATTGCAATAAAAATTTCCGCGTCTACACCTGTGACCGCAGTTAAGCCGCGTTGAAAATGCTTAACGTTTCGGTTGAAAGTTTCCGAAACCAAAGCCAACGGGAAAAGTTAAATTGAGTTAAGCGCAGGCCACGAGAAAAGTTTTTAAATAATTTCGCTTGTCTCATAAAAAATCATAAAACTTTTTTTGCCACGCTTAGTTGGAAGGTTTAGATGTGGTCTTATGGAAACCAAAAAATTTGCTGACAGTTTTAAAATGTTTCATTAATTAAACGACCAACAACGTCACGTAATTGATAATTTAATTTAGGACTTTTATATTCTAATTTTTACGAGTGAGGATCCCTCAAAAAAAATAAAAAATTTAAAGCATTTTAAATATAATTAAAAGTTTAGTTTAATTGCAATGACAAGGGTTGAATTAACGCTTAATTACATTTTATTCTTAATTTAAGTGTCCTTATATCATCCATCAGTAAATGGGATGTTGGGAGGACAGCATCCCAACAAAAGGAATTGCAAAAGCTGTGTCTTACATATTATTTTAAAAAATTAATAGTGGATTAGGGAAGTTCCAAAGAATATATATCATTTACTTGCATTATTTAGATAAATCCAATGTCAAAAATTGAGCAACCAAACGCAACAATCGGTTGCCAACAATCGGAGGTGAAGGATTGGCAATATTCTTTGCCTCTTGTTTGACTCGCTTTTTCGAACATATAGAAAAAGACTCATTATCATTGACCTTTGAATACAAACACTGACCATACAATTCTTTCGAACGATGCTAATTATTATTCAACAGTGGTATTTAAATATATACCATATTCAGCATAATTTCACTCATGACTCCAAATAAGAGATATCAAACCTCGTTCAATACGAGTATGAAATGTAAATTCACGTGGATCATACGGGCACGCGGGATTTAAATTCTTGCAGGGATTAAATACTCTAAGCATACAATCCAAAATCCTTTCCTTAAGTCTTTTGCAGTCTCAATCTGTAGTGATTTTTTAAATATTGATTCTCTGCTTTTTATATATTTTTAACGATGGCTTCACATCTTAAAATGTACAATGCGTTCATGACTAGCCGACACAGTTGTCTGAGTCGGATGTTTTTGCCCGAATAATTTATTTTGAACTCTCATTATTTTTTGATATAACAGAAGAATGTTAAACTCCAAAATTGACTGACATTGATCCTATGTCATTCAACTTTGGAGGTTTTATAATTAAGTTATAACTAAGAACGTTTATTTCGACATATCTTCAAGTTCTTATTAACAAGCAAGAATATAGTAATTGCTGCACACTCATAGTCATTATTTTTATTTGGATAATGATTAGTGTATTCCAACCTTAAAGATCTATTGTACCTCTTACAGTATCCATTAGAGAATTTCTCTAAGTCCGATTTTTTTAATGAAAGACAGTATAGAAAGACAGTATACCCTCCTAGGTGTTCCTTTCGCTTATGCTTCAGTGCCGGACATTTCCCTAGAACATGATATGCGAGTTCTCTCTCATCCTTACAGTATCTTCAATCCGAGTTGGATTTGATTCCTAATTTTGCTAACTTTGTATTATTAAATAATCGGATTGTGCCTGAATAGAAAAGGTCTAGAGAATTTGGTAAAATCTTTTTAAGTATTTCTATTCCTGCAAAATATTTTTCTTTAATTGATATTTTTTTTTGTTCCCTTTACCCCTGTATGTGGATACATTGAGTAGATGGCATATAGCTGATTTAAAGTGTCAACTGATGAGAATAAGATATGCCACAATTATATATCATACATTTCGTAATAGCTATGAAAATGTATCACTTTTTTAAAGTATTATAAAATACGTACATTACAATTACGAAAACAAAGTTCTATTTCAAACATAGCCGACTATCTTT